CAGATTTAAAAAATCAATTTAAAATTATTTTTACATAAAAGCGTTTAAGTCTCAAAAAGTGAAAAGTGTTTAAAAGCTTCTTTCCTTTTCTGTTTTAGATGAACACCAAATCTCCAGAAACTGAAATTATTCTAGTGACTCAGAACACACATATGGACACGAGCATGCACACACACACACACAAACATACACACTCGCACAAAATGTCCAAAGGTAAAACTAGGAGATTTACTTTGAGCTGACATCAGTAACCAACAAGTAAACTCTTTCTTTATTCATCACTAATCCCAGGTGTCCAATAAATGATTAAGCTAATAGAAAAAGTGTATTATTACATAGCAGAAGGAAGTAGTATATAGACATTCAATGGATTACATTTAGACTAGTAGTTGAGAAATGCAGACAACCATTACCTAACTTAACAGCTGATACCAGAGAAAAGAAAAAAAGGAAGGAAGAAAGGGAGACAGTAAATGGTAGATCTACCAGATTCAGGACTCACTGACTTCTGCTGGCATTATTTCAAATACATATTCTTTTCTTTTTGTTTATCAGAATCTTAAATATATGCCATTCCTTCTTTGAATTCTCAATTGACTTCACAAAAAGAATACTGTCTTGAACAATGTGAATTGGCTTGATAGATTACAGTAAATAGAAACAGAAATAACCCAAAAGATTAACCATCTGTTGTTTCTCAATCTAATTTTCAAATATATTCTATTCCTAAATAACAATGAATACACATGGATGTCCACTTTTACAATGTTGCAATTCCTTCACATGTATGACACTCATTTTCATGCACAGTGACTTCAAAGTGAGGAAAATATGAACTCCATCATTTCAAATGTCTCCCACCCTAAAGGCTGGCAAAGATTTTTTAGAATCATAAACCAAATTTTTTTAATTTATAGATTAAATAACCATAGGGAGTGTATATTTTTTAAGTCTTTCACTTCACTTTTAAGTTCTCAGGCTTTAGTAGAAAAGAATGATAACCACCAAGCATGAAGAGTTCCTATTTTTGAGGCAGTTTTACTCGACCAATAATCCAGCTGATGGAGTCACTGATGGTTACATAGATGCTCCATTTACAAAGAGAACAGCTTGAAACAATTTGAAGAATAATTCATCAAAAATAAAAATTTTTAGATACATGTGTTATTTTATATTAAACACATGAAATTTTGTCATTTTAGAACAGCAAAGGGCTTTGAACCATAAAAAGATATTACTATGCTGTGCCTGATTCTGAGAGTTCAAGGGGACAATGTAAAGAGAGATGTTTTCTAAGGAGATTAAATTAATTAAATCTTCATTGGCAAATAATAACATAAGTTAAAAATCTTGAAATAGAAATGCTGATTTTTTGTTTAACCAAACAGCATTTGCTCTACATAGTGAAAAAAATCTCAGGGGCACCATCTCCTGTTTTTGTACCTTGCCTCAAGAGTCTGTGAAATTTGATTTAAGCCCTGATCCTGACCTCGTCAATACTCAGAGCAAAGGCCATATATTCACTCCTGTCAGTCACTCTGTCCTTAGGACTTCTACATTCTCAGTGGCAAGAAATTAAGTTTTAGATCAGAGGGTGGCTAACATTTCTACAGGATTCATCCTTTCTCTCCGTGATAAGGATAAAGAAGAATGTTAGGTTCTCATATATTATTTAGGACTATTACAAAATTCTTGGTATGTGTATTTATATGTAAATAAATAAACATACATAGACCCACATATACTGTCAGATGTCTATCAGTGGTATTTTACAAGACAACCAAGATCCTTGACCTTTGATTACATTTTTTTTTTTAACTACCGCTACTTAAGTGCCTCCCGTGTACCAGGTATTATATCAGGCACCTGACATAACTACCTCATTTAATTCTTACAACCCTCCAAGGTAGAGATTATCTCCATATTAAGACAAGAAAACAAAGTTTCAGAGAGAGAAAATAATCGCCTAAATTCTTTCATTTAAAAAATGTCAGAACTAGGATTTATACGTGCTACTCTTGTTCAAAAACTCATGCTTTGCTATACTGTCTTGTCTCCTAGCCTTACTTTATATTTAAAAAAAAAAAGACTCAGATGTCTAAGCATGCTTCTTTCCCCCCATTCGTAAGAAACTATAAGCTAGCAAAGCATCATATATGTACTCCTCAATCTCTAAATCATCTTAATACATACAAGTCTGGTTGTAATGTTTTAGAATATCTCTAGGCTTAATCAAATCAGTCTTTGCTGGAGTTCCATCTGTTGTCTAGCATTTTTCTAGGAGGCTTAGGAGAAAATAATGGAAAGTCACTGTGTAATGAATAAACCTCAGGTGGAGTACCACAGAAAAACTGCTGGGATATAATTGCTAAACTCCCTACCATGTCTGCATTCTTCATCTCTAGAATGATTCCTAAAATTGCACTTAAGTAGACAAAGGCAACTGGCTACCATTATGTGGTAAAATTGTTACATTACTACCAAAAAAAGCAAAATACCCATTTTCTCATTCTCTTCCCATATCAAATTAGGTAATATTTGTCAAAGCTCTGTAACCTATTATACATAGGTAAGAAACTATCACAAGTATCATTATTTCCCTTCTCTGATTCTGTATGGAAACTGCTGAGAGTCCAGTCTGTAGTAATTTTAATTTATTTTAAAACTACTTATAAAACAATGATGTAAGCCCCATTATACAATACTATAAACCCTTACTGCATGGTGGAAAAAGTTCTAATGTTTGAAAGCTTTAAGAAACTCTGGAACTGTATCAATTCTTCATTCTTTAAAGCTTGCACAGATAAGGTTTCATGGCCCACTGTGTTCCATGTAATCACAACAGAAGGATTCACGATCACATAATTTTAGAAAATCTTGGTTAAACAATTCATTTACTACAGACTAGTTTTCATTTACCATTGACTGGGTTAAATAATTCATTTAAACAGATTAATTTTCCACAGGACTTCTTGGACTCTTTAAGATACTAGTAGACTCTGTCTCTCTAGAAGAGCAACAGATAGTACTATGTAGATTATAGTATAGTTAAAACAGTCACTGCCCCCCCGCCCCCCACCATTCAGCCTTTCCCTGCCTTCCCTTCTTGAAAAGGCCACTCCTAACAAGAATTATCTTTCTCCACTCCATGACACGAGAACTGGCCATGTGACAGGCTTTGGCCAATGAAATATGAGTGGAAGTGACACATGCCACTTCCAAGCAGCTGCTTTAAGAGCCCTGTATCCCCCATCACTCTCTTTTTCTTCTGCCACAAGCTTGCGCATCCCAGAGAGGCTGCTCTTCAGTTTTGGTCCAGGAACAAAAAGGACATGGAGCAGAGCAGTAGCACATTCAAAAGAGACATGACCAGAGTAAGAAATAAACTTTTACTACTATAAATTACTAAGATTTGGGGAACCTTTTGATACTGAAATGTAACTTTGCCTAAACTGACTAGCGTAGCATGTTTTCCTGATTTATTTGATCCTGGCATCCTTTTGTCAAGCAACATCTTCCAGGATTTATTTACTAAATTATTGCTGGTTTTGCATGGCATCTTTTTTTTCTTAGTTAGCACTGTATTTACGATAAGCATAAAAATATTTTACATATGTAAAGTAGAAGTATACAGTCTTAGTCAACATCAATTAAACTTTCTTAAATTTTATCAGCAATTTGAATTTTTGTCAATTTACGCCTAGTTAAGATAAGAAATACATTTTATTGCAATAATTTATTATTCAAAAATCATAGATAGATGGCTACTTAGTCAAGACTGTCATAGTAAAGATAGTTCATGGTTTAGGTTTCTGAACAGGGCACATAAAGTATCCTACTGCACTTCCAAGAACTTAGTAAATTTAAAATATTGCCACAAATTTAATTTTCTTTAAACCTCATCATACTCAAATTCCCTTTTGGATTAGCAATTGAGAATTTACTTGAAATCTCAGTATCAATTTTTGAATATTCATAGTCTTTTCTGCTGACCTAGCAACATTCAGTCCATACTTGCTAAAACAGGAAGGTAGACAGATATTCTAGACAGATTTAATAAGCTAATAAATAAAATATTTTAAAAATAAAAGATTTAAGATTACTTTTACTTAGAAAGTTAAAGAATAAGATCACTTCCTAAAAATTACAAATGATCAACATTTACTAGATTTGTTCACTTTCATTCACATTATGTTCCTCAGTCTTACAAATCATGTTCACCATCAAGGGTCAAGACATCAATAAAGCAATCACACATTTAATTTTCAGACTGTGAAAACTCTATACATTTGAGTAATCATTGAAACTAATTTTCAAATACAACTGCCATATTTTACAAGTTTAAAATTTTGTTTTCCCTAAAGCAACAGCTTTGAAAACAAGATAACTTATGTACATGAGGACAGAGTTATATTATCTTTGAGTTTCAAAATTTGATAAAATCTGTCACATGCATTTATTTTTAAATCTCAATGTTCTCTTCCTTGGCTGCTTTTTATATTTAAAATAGTTTCATGGATGCAGGAAATCTTAGCTATATAAGGATCTCTATTATTTTTAATTGGTAAGAAAAACTCCATACTGCCTTGATATGATTCACTTTTTAAGTCACAGTAGTACAAAAAGCAGGTTTTGGAGGACAGGCCAATTTAATATTAATTTAGGTATGTAGTCTCTAGATATCCATGACTTGAATAAATTGACTTTCAATAATAACACTCTACTGTGGAGAAACAAATCGGATATTTTAAAATAGTTAACAAAGAAAAATAATGATTTTAAAGGAAAATTTAACTTACTTGATGGAGATTAAAACGTCACTTTAAAGAGATAAACAAAATTGACAAAAAAATTTAAACAATTGTCACACTTTCTCAATCAATATGGAAGGTGAATCCATCAGATGGGAAACAGTTGAGATGGACTCTTTGATAGCACACGGTTCCTGACCGCGTCACTACTTCCAGGGAAGTAAGGTACACCACTGGTGCTGCTCTTACCAGTCAAGCCAAGGCTTTCCATTGTGATTTCAACGGAACATCAGAACTTCCAGCTTCTGTGATGTAGCAGGATTCTGTGAAAGATCCAGAGCAAAGCAATTAAAATGGTAAGCCACGAAGGCCTTTCAAGTAATGCTGACACTTATTCTCATTCAGCAAAATAATCTCCAAACAGAATGAATTAATAGTCAAGCAATCAAAATCAGGCAAACTATTAAATGCCTTTAAGATAATATTATCTAGAGAAAGTGTTTACTCTCAACTTTAATAAACAAAAAGAGAGTCACTAAAACTATTCAATGGGAATGCTAAGATTAATGTTACTGAGACAAAAAACTACAGGATAAATCCCTTGGAAAAAAATGAGGTTAAATCAAGGACAGATTACCCAATAAGCAACGTACAGACGGGCTTACCTGTGCTTACTTACTAATCCGTACTGCACAATTCACCTGTTTTTCGCCACGTCTTTGATGTAAAACTGTTCACTACAGATTAGTAAATAAACACAATTAAGTCTGTGGGTACTTTGCTTACTGTAAGCAGCCCATTCGTACCCCGCTTACTGGTTAATCTGCCCCTGAGTTAAATCGACATCATTACTAAATCTAAGTTATTTTGAATGACTAGCCCAACTCAGGAGCTCTGGTGGCAAAGTGATTAAGAGCTCAGCTGCTAACCAAAAGGTTGGCAGTTCAAATCCACCAGCTGCTCCTTGGAAGCCCTATGGAGCAGTTCTACTTTGTCCTATAGGATTGCTAAGAGTCAAGTCGGAATCAACTCCACAGCAATGGGTTTGTTTTTTTTTTTTATTTTTTGAGCCCAACCCAACTAGATAAGCTTTGATTCAGACATTAATATCCTGAATTTATTTTTTAGATGTTTTAAAAATTGTGAGTAAAGCAAGACAGTTAAAAAAGGGGGCGGCGGGGAGTGAGTGAGACTGCAACCAAACAATTAGTTTCTAGCTACAAAGGATTATGTAAATATAGGAAAACAAAAAAAAACCCTTGCCATTGAGTCAATTACGACTCATAGCAACCCTATACGACAGAGCAGAACTGCTGCACAGGTTTCCAAGGCTGTAATCCTTACGGAAGCAGACTGCCACATCTTTCTCCTGCAGAGTGGCTCTTGGGTTCGAACCACCAACCTCTCCATTAGAAGCCAAACTACTTAACCACTGTGCTGCCAAGATTCCTTTTAAATACTGGAAAGAGATTAAAATCAGCAGATGGTGTACACAAATTAAATGCAACATTCTACATTAACAGCACTACACATACAGACATACACCTAAATCATCATTTTTAAGAATTAAAAGTTATCATTTTCATAGTTTCCGTGTGAGATGCATTCATTTAGTTCCTAGGATGTTTTAGTGGGAATACTGAGTTCACACTCAACTAACAATCTCCTGCCTCCTGCAGATTATAACAGTGCCACTTCTTAAATTATAACACACTCTAAAAATCAGTATCACTTAGTGGTTTATGGCTTTATCAGTGCTATTAGTCATTTTATGGCTTGGATGAAGGGCTTTTTTTTTTCCCCCTAATCAGCCACTATGATATTTAAGAACTGCCTCTCACACATTAGACTGCAAAAATGTGCAATGATTCATCTGAGTAACCCTATCTAGAATTAGATGATTCAGTTGTCACCCAGTGCTATTAAAGAAAACAACAGCAGGAAACAATGAATAAGGTGTTAAATGGTGTCTCATGTGGTTTCCAAAAGATACTACTCATTCATCCCACATTTTTTAAAGCGAGGCTATGGATGAAAGAATAAATCTAGATCTTTGAAGCAATCTACAAAAGACACATATGAATACTTTCCAATTAAATGCCTATGTTTCTACTACACTTTATGAACTCTGAGTACAATTCCAAAAACTGATGAAATAAATGGTATGAAAGTCTATTCTTAATCATCATGAAATAGGCAACTAACATTATTGTTGTTTTAAGAAAATCACATCTACTAAATATCTCATATATTTGCATACTTTTTTTCATATAAATTCATAAAAGTGAATATACAGAACCATTAAAAAAACTGTAAAATAAATAAAAACCACAAATAAATAAATATAAATAACTGTCAAGTAAATAAATTGATATAAACAAAAAAATGTGATTTATACTGCAAAATTGTGAGAGTGGTCCGTCATTAATTTTGACAGTACAGGTTTATTATTTTGTTTTTAAGATTTGTTTACTGTTTAGTTTAAGAAGCGAGCACATGTTACTGGAAAAATAAATATGATAATATATCATTTAGGCAGAACTTCCTCTAGAAGCTCAAAAATAAACTCAGTAATCTTCAGATACCCTTACAGATTTATTCATTTCTATAATTATATATATATATTTGTTGTTGTTAGGTGCCATCGAGTCAGTTCCAACTCATAGTGACCCTATGGACAAACAGTGACCCTATGGACAACAGAAAGAAACACTGCCCAGTCCCATGCCATCCTCACAATCATTGTTATGCTTGAGCCCACGGTTGCAGCCACTGTGTCAATCTATCTCGTTGAGGGTCTTCCTCTTTTTCGCTGACCCTCTACTTTACCAAGCATGATGTCCTTCTCCAGGGACTGGTCCCTCCTGATAACATGTCCCAAGTACATGAGACGAAGTTTCACCATTCCTGCTTCTACGGAGCATTCTGGCTGCACTTTTTCCAAGACAGATTTGTTTGTTCTTCTGTCAGCCCATGGTATATTCAATATTCTTTGCCAACACCATAATTCAAAAGCATAAATTCTTCTTCGGTCTTCCTTATTCATTGTCCAGCTTTCACGTGCATACGAGGCAACTAAAAATACCATGGTTTGGGTCAGGCACACCTTAGTCCTTAAAGTGACATCTTTACTGTTGAACACTTTAAAGAGGTCTTCTGCAGCAGATTTGCCCACTGCAACATGTCACTTGATTTCCTGACTGCTGCTCCCATGGGCATTGACTGCGGATCCAAGTAAAATGAAATCTTTGACAACTTCAATCATATATATATAGAGAGAGAGAGATATAGACCATAACTACACCTTATTATGATTACTGTTTAATAATTTATCACCTGTGATGCAACTATCTGTGGCTAAAGCAGAGGGAAAGAAAGTTGGCTATGCTGTGGCCACTGTACCTTTTAAAACTCCTAGGGTAACAAACAAATCGCGTTGGGCTTAACTGGCCAGGAGAGAGAAGCCAGGAATCAGCCAGCAGAGGAGAGGTCAATTTCAAGGCTGAAGATACTGCCTGAGACTGCCCTCTGAGTTCTGTGATAGCTGAACTCAAGAGACTCTAGATTTTATCTGGCTGGTACAAATCCCCACGAGTAGCTTCAGAAAAGCAGTTTCAGCATAAGCTGTTCTGCATGTAAACTACATGATTTTCACAAAGTGTTTTGATTTGAGGGAAACGGGTGGCTGTGCGTTGTGTCAGAAGGGCAGGCTGGCAGGCAGGGAGATATGCTTGAAGTGTGAACACAACGCAGCTGAGCGGTGACTTGAACGTGCTCTAAACCAAGACTGGGCAGCTTGTCATGTGAGCCACCCGTGCCCGTTTGTGCTCTCAGAGTCCCATTTAAGCTTCCTCCCAACCTCATTCTCACCCACACAGGGCCTCGCGTTTCTGATTCGCCATGATTTAGCCCCCACTGCCTCATTAAGAACTTTCCTTCCCCTTTCCAAGGCCTGCTTCCTACCCATGACAGTACCTCCCACGGGATGCATACCAGCCGGGCCTGACCTGGCACAGCTCAGGATTCCCTCCGAAAACCCTCATCAGGGCAGGGTGGACAGCCATCTATTAAATATCTATTACGTGCCTCTTACCACCAATAGGATATCTGACTTGGCACCTGAAGACTCTATCGTAAAGATCTTGGCCTAAGCAATCACTGAAATATCCTGAACCAACTGGCTTTCTGGCACAGCTCACACATTGCACCTTGGGGTGCTCTGTTTTGAAAAGCCTATTATACTAAAAAAAGGTGAGGTGCCACTTCTTACAATGAGGCTGACTCCCAATTAGTGATAATGTCCAGGACAGCATTCAGAGGCACATCATGGCAAGGTTCCCTTTTGTGCTCACACTGTGTGTTTCACACCCTGATGCCACTGCTACCTCGTCACTGTAGAAGGGACTCCAAGGTAACCATGTGGCCCACTTACATGGAAGAAAATTTAATCCCCACGAATGACTGCTTTTCTGATGTTTTCATCAATTCTCTGGGTAATGGATTAAGCTTTAACTAACTCATTTTCATACATACCCCTAATTCAATCAAGCTCAATAAAACTCATTTCGGGACTGCAATTATTTGCTAAGGAACAATTACATTCAAATAAAAAAAAAATTCTGGGCATGATACAATACATGGTACAGATGCCTCTCCATTTATGGAGCAAGAATAACAACAAAAACAGTCAAACTGCTAGAAAAGGAAGTCTATTTTTCCTCTTCTTCCTGAAAATAGAATATTCATGCTTTTACACCTGAAGAAAACAAAATGGTGAACCTGAGAAAGCAATTTTTTAAGCTATTATTTTAAAATTATGCTATGTTTTGAAAGATTCTTCATTTCCAACCTAAGAGTTGGCACGACCTCTGAGGACCAAAACAGGCCTAGGACACAAACTAAAAGTCCTAATACCCACCTATCACTAAATCTTCCACCAGCTTCCTCCATTTTCCCAACAATACGTATTCCAACCGCTACTTTACAACGCAGTTTTTCCTAACAGATTTTTTCTGTTTTAAACCGACCACTTCTCCTTCACAAGAACACAATTTGCATCTTTTGCTCTTTTATATACTGAAAAGCAAGCCCACTGCTGTCGAGTCAATTCCAACTCACAGCGACCCTGTAGGACAGAACAGAACTGTCCCATTGGGTTTTCGAGCCTGTAATCTTTATGAAAGCAGACTTCCACAGTTTTCTCCTGCAGACTTCCTGGTGGGTTTCAAACTGCCGAGCTTCCAGTTAGCAGCCAACTACATAAGTGTGTGTGTGTGTGTGTGTGTGTGTGTGTGTGTGTGTGTGTGTGTGTGTGTGTGTGTGT